CCTTCCTTGAACTTTCTAATGAAAGCATCTACTCATTTCCACTACAATAACCAATGTCTTTTTCCCCACATGAGATTGTCCGGTTGTGCCTAGCTAGAAATTAAAATCATCGTAATGCTAAAGCTACTTTGGTTTTTTCCTATCGTTGGAATCGGAGCATCAGACACTTTGTTGATTGGCTAATGAGAAATATTGAGACTTGGTGGATGGGGCGTTGAATTGGTGCCATGTTCACTTTGTAACTTAATAATGTTAATTTACATATGTAAGTCCAATTCATACAAAAACGTTACTTACCATGTACCTAATCTTCTCAATTTGAAAGCATCTTTCTCCCATATTAGTATTACTTGATAGCTTGTTGCATGAATTATGAGGCGCTTTGACTTACTGTTGATTGTTATATTCCTAGGCAATATCTAGGATATATTATGTCATAAAAATCAAGCAAATATAGGAAAAATGTTAGAAATGTATATCTCCTCTCCTTTTACAAATTAGATGGATTTTTTATACTAAAAATTAGAAAGTTTTGTGACATGGAATAAGTTAAGGTTTACTGTAATATTGGACTATATATTAATGTGTGAAAAGTGTATAGAAGAAAGTTTTGTGTAAATTCATAATTAATGTGTAAAAAGTATAAAGAAGAAAGTGAAACATTAATTGCTCTAATACTTGATGAAAAAGAATGAAAGCAAAACGGGAAAGGGAAGTCATCGTTGGGCTAGAAGCATGTGGCGTGGGTTTAGTACATCAAATTAATTGGATTTTTATTCAAATAAAAAAAGGTTGAATTTTGAACAGATACAATGCATAAAATCATGTGAAGAGCAATTGCATTTCTTGGTCATTATAATGTGTACATATCGATGAAAAGGTTAGGTCGTAGTAATTTCACTCTAAATGAAAATAAACATTATAAAAAAGAGAAGTCAATGTTGTAGTGGAGATATCATGCAGTAGTACGCCATGGAAAGTATAGTCAAATATTCATAATTCATTTGTTATTATTCTTTTCTTTCTTATTCTCTCATTATATTATTTATTTTTAGTCACTCTTTGCACCTCCAACAATCATTATATCATTACATATC